TTTTGGTTAGGTCCGTTTCGCCGTGTAGGTTGGTTCCGGAGGTCCGTCTGTTCCCCTCCCCCCCCTGCGCTGTTTTTGGCCGTTTGCCCTTCGTGTGTCCGCTTTTTTCTTCCTCTTGCCTTTCAGGGTTGACCCGGCTCTGGCCGGTGTGTGTGTGTGTAACATCTAAATAGATGTAAAACTTCTTTCTTTTTCTTCCTTCTGTCCTCTCCCTTTTTAAATCTAGTGAAAGGGTTTTAAATCTAGTGCAGGGGGATGAGGGTTCCCTTGGTGTGCCTCATCTAACAAAGACCGCACCAAGTGGACGTGATATCAGTGCCCGGCCAGCACTGACGTACCTGCACTCGTATATATTTTTTTTACGCTGTTGGTTTATATGTCAATGACTCCTGTGATTTTTTACTGACGTGCTCCTTATACTCTCACTGCTGTTGGTTTATATGTCAATGACTCCTGTGATTCATATGGACGTGGCAAGGGGCTAAGCCAAGAACCCCAATAAACAAACAATCTAATAAATTTGTTTCCTGTCTTTTTGCATGTTTCAGGATTCAGTTCCTGCCGGATCATATAATGATCCATTCTTGTCTAGTGTGTGGGTTAAGTGCGAGTCCAATGGCACTTGAAGATTGGGCACGTGCATCAAAATATATGTGTTCTCAAACTTAAAGAAAAGTGCGCCGGCACACCCAAGACGTGGTCGTTGCTCCCAAAACAAATCAGTTATGTTGCCAATCTCAAACTTAACGCCAGTCTGAGTATGCAAAGGTATGAAGATATGACAAGGTACGATGAGATATGATAGGATACGATAAGATATGTAGAGGTCTGTGTCTCTTTGTCTCTCGATGACTCGCTTTCAGGCGTTTCCAGCAGCACCTGCTCTGGCGCCAGCGCCAGCAGGAGATTGACGATTCGGGGATTGGTCCTGTGAGAGTCAAACCGGGGAAACGTCAGAGAAAATGGGGAGATCACCGTTGCGCAATGCCTAGTTGACCCACGTTGACCCAAGAAATGGCATTGATGCATGGATGTAGCTAAACACTACTAAACACAGTTAAACTAACTGAGGATTGCGTTTTTGGTGTTTTGGTTAATCAGATTGTTTTTCCTGTCAGAAAGTCCTCCAAAATGGCCAACACGCCTCAACTTGACAACCAATGATATCCAATGATCATTAAATCTCCCGTTGCGTTGCAGGAGCAGCTGCAAAAGCACCACCGCCAGAGGCAGGTTGATTGATATTTGGAAGACTGATCCACTTTGGGCCAGAAGATGCCATAAGCAGTTTGAGTCGTATCTAAGTCGCGGTACTCCTTTGCAGAAGTACCTTTGAAGAGCAACCAGGATTCTGTGCCCCGAAAAAATGATGATTCTGATAGAGATTCCTGCGGTTGGTAAATCATTGGCACCTCAGCGGCAGAGATGTCACCCTTGAAAACATCATATCTCATCGGACAGGGCAGTAATTAGCCATGAATCGCTATCTTCAGGAATCATCCCAGTATCTTCTCCCCGCTGTGGTTTTTATCCCAGTTCGGACCCACTTGGGGTGAATTGATTTTTCTTTTACCAAAAGAAAGTTAGGTAGTTGCGTTCTGTTCGAGTCTCGGAGGACAGAGCTCATGAAGGGTCTTCGTTTAGAAGCAGAAGCAAAATATAGACATTCCACCTGAAAAGCCAAAAGATGCAGAAACCAAAGAGACCACTAATGCATACTAATATACATGGGTCAAGTTGAATCAACAGAAGTGCGGGTCCAATGTCACTTGAAGATTGGGCACGTGCATCAGAATATTTTTTCTCACACTTAAAGAAAAGTGCGCCGGCACACCCAAGACGTGGTCGTTGCTCCCAAAACAAATCAGTTATGTTGCCCATCTCAAACTTAACCCCAGTCTGGGTATGCAAAGGTATGAAGATATGACAAGATACGATAAGATATGTAGAGGTCTGTCTCTCTTTGTCTCTCGATGACTCGCTTTCAGGCAGTTCCAGCAGCACCTGCTCTGGCGCCAGCGCCAGCAGGAGATTGACGATTCGGGGATTGGTCCTGTGAGAGTCAAACCGTGGAAACGTCAGAGAAAATGGGAGATCACCGTTGCGCAATGCCTAGTTGACTCACGTTGACCCAAGAAATGGCATTGATGCATGGATGTAGCTAAACATTACTAAACACAGTTAAACTAACTGAGGATTGCGTTTTTGGTGTTTTGGTTAATCAGATTGTTTTTCCTGTCAGAAAGTCCTCCAAAATGGCCAACACGCCTCAACTTGAAAACCAATGATATCCAATGATCATTAAATCTCCCGTTGCGTTGCAGGAGCAGCTGCAAAAGCACCACCGCCAGAGGCAGGTTGATTGATATTTGGAAGACTGATCCACTTTGGGCCAGAAGATGCCATAAGCAGTTTGAGTCGTATCTAAGTCGCGGTACTCCTTTGCAGAAGTACCTTTGAAGAGCAACCAGGATTCTGTGCCCCGAAAAAATGATGATTCTGATAGAGATTCCTGCGATTGGTAAATCATTGGCACCTCAGCGGCAGAGATGTCACCCTTGAAAACATCATATCTCATCGGACAGGGCAGTAATTAGCCATGAATCGCTATCTTCAGGAATCATCCCAGTATCTTCTCCCCGCTGTGGTTTTTACCCCAGTTCGGACCCACTTGGGGGGAATTGATTTTTCTTTTACCAAAAGAAAGTTAGGTAGTTGCGTTCTGTTCGAGTCTCGGAGGACAGAGCTCATGAAGGGTCTTCGTTTTGAAGCAGAAGCAAAATATAGACATTCCACCTGAAAAGCCAAAAGATGCAGAAACCAAAGAGACCACTAATGCATACTAATATACATGGGTCAAGTTGAATCAACAGAAGTGCGGGTCCAATGTCACTTGAAGATTGGGCACGTGCATCAGAATATTTTTTCTCACACTTAAAGAAAAGTGCGCCGGCACACCCAAGACGTGGTCGTTGCTCCCAAAACAAATCAGTTATGTTGCCCATCTCAAACTTAACCCCAGTCTGGGTATGCAAAGGTATGAAGATATGACAAGATACGATAAGATATGTAGAGGTCTGTCTCTCTTTGTCTCTCGATGACTCGCTTTCAGGCAGTTCCAGCAGCACCTGCTCTGGCGCCAGCGCCAGCAGGAGATTGACGATTCGGGGATTGGTCCTGTGAGAGTCAAACTGTGGAAACGTCAGAGAAAATGGGGAGATCACCGTTGCGCAATGCCTAGTTGACTCACGTTGACCCAAGAAATGGCATTGATGCATGGATGTAGCTAAACATTACTAAACACAGTTAAACTAACTGAGGATTGCGTTTTTGGTGTTTTGGTTAATCAGATTGTTTTTCCTGTCAGAAAGTCCTCCAAAATGGCCAACACGCCTCAACTTGAAAACCAATGATATCCAATGATCATTAAATCTCTCGTTGCGTTGCAGGAGCAGCTGCAAAAGCACCACCGCCAGAGGCAGGTTGATTGATATTTGGAAGACTGATCCACTTTGGGCCAGAAGATGCCATAAGCAGTTTGAGTCGTATCTAAGTCGCGGTACTCCTTTGCAGAAGTACCTTTGAAGAGCAACCAGGATTCTGTGCCCCGAAAAAATGATGATTCTGATAGAGATTCCTGCGATTGGTAAATCATTGGCACCTCAGCGGCAGAGATGTCACCCTTGAAAACATCATATCTCATCGGACAGGGCAGTAATTAGCCATGAATCGCTATCTTCAGGAATCATCCCAGTATCTTCTCCCCGCTGTGGTTTTTACCCCAGTTCGGACCCACTTGGGGTGAATTGATTTTTCTTTTACCAAAAGAAAGTTAGGTACAGTAGTTGCGTTCTGTTCGAGTCTCGGAGGACAGAGCTCATGAAGGGTCTTCGTTTTGAAGCAGAAGCAAAATATAGACATTCCACCTGAAAAGCCAACAAAGATGCAGAACCAAAGAGACCACTAATGCATACTAGTGTGTGTGTGTGTGTGTTTTTTCCTACGCTTCTTTCTGCTGCAGAATCCGCGCACGCCATCAATTCAGGATTTCCTGAATCGGTTCTCACTGTGAGAAACTTGGGATCCCTACGGCAATCAATGCAGTGCTTTGCCATCAGTGGGGAAAAGATGGCGCAGCAGGCAAGCTTGGCTGGTGGTTGATGCCGCTACGCTCTGGTGGCTCCAGAGGGCATACATGGTATGAGAAAAGTGGAGAAATGCAAAACAAATATGAAAGTCGCTGGATCACAAGGTGTGACCTCGTTGGACATGCAAGGTGAAACATCATGAATACTGGAAGCAACAGCGTGATTTTTTTTTTTTTGGCTTCTTTTGGTGGCCTTTTTTTTTGGGGGGGCTTCTTTTAGTGGCCCTCTCTCACTGGGGGTACACTCCGGGGATACCGGAGGGCTATGCTTGATCGGTCGATCAAACATTTCCGGGGGGAGGTGGGGCATCAAAAAAACATGCAGCAAAAAGTGGTAACTGATGGAGGCCAATCATCAATGCATTGTGGTCAGAGCTTTTCAGAATCTCAGAAATCGGAAGGCGCCTGCTAGGCTTCATGGTCAAAGGATATGTCCATGCATTGGGGCCAAAATGGCCTGGTTTGGGTGATGCTCCAGTGAGCTGCATGTGCCAAAATGGCATATTCTGATGGGTCGATCGCACATTGGTGTCAAACACCACTGGACTTACCCACGCGAGGAGTTCGTCTCGTTGGGTGCACATTGTGAAACAGGTGAAACGGACCTAATTTTTTTTATTTTTTTTGCTTCTTTTGGTGGCCATTTTTTTTTTTTTGGGGGGGCTTCTTTTCGTGGCCCTTGAGACTGGGGTTTACACCCTGGGGATTCCAGGGGGCATAGGCAACGGGGGGAGGGATGAGCCTATGGGTCAAGCTAGCCTGTCACGGCATTGGTCAACAGGCAGCTCAGTGCAAAACCTGTGGCAACACCATATCAAAAACCGGTGGGTGCCATGTTTTTTTTTTTGAGGATTCAAGCAGCGAGCATTTGCATCAGCCCTCCGATGTGCGATGCCTGAGGAACAACATGTTTCCATGGGTGCAGCTCCATGACGTCTGACCGACATAGCCAGAGACATGTGGCTCCAGCATGAAACCCTGCGGGAATCTCAGTGCATGGTGTTGGGCGTCGGCAGTCATCGCAATGGAGCCAACATGATCTTTCTGCATTGCCTTTTGTGTCCGTGGTCCTGAGCAGGGCCTGGTAGTGCCCGGCATTGTCTTCACCATAGTGCGCAAAAGCAGACACAGCGTAATACTGATTCCACACACATTCAATGCCCTGTTGCACAAATGTAGGAACCGCAATCAGTCCAGTGAAGATGACAGGAATCTGCAGCTTCTGAATAAGGTTGGGACCAGTGCGCGCCATACGGTCAATGTGCACACACAAGAGCTCAGGTGCTTGGATCAGGCCTGCCTGCATTCCCATCTCCACGTGCCAACACCTGAGTAGGTCAGTGAGTCGAGCTATGCCGTCTGTGGTCTGTGATGGGTGTAATTGCAGGGTGAGTGGGTGATGTCTTGCACCATGGTCATGAATCAGCACATTTTCACCTTGCAGCCATCGTCTTTGCCAAAGACAGCAGACAGCTGGCGGCTGAACCCATTGCATCAAAAGAGACGTAAATTCCGCTGAGTCTGCCTGACTGTCCTGTGTTATCCATGGTGCAACAAGATCCTGGAACCAACTCTGTTGATCAAGGACATAAGGATTGTCAGTGTTGCTCAGCATAGAAATGAATGTCTCAGCTGATGAACCCCAATCGTCATACTCAAAAGTCTGCCTGGAAAGACACGCCCACACAAACGCGGTGATGGAGGCATTGGCATAACAAAGATTTCCTGGGTTGTCAAACACCAGAGCAGCCATGGTTTGTCGCAAAGCTTGTCTGGCTGTTGCAGTCATCCCTTCTTCGATTTGCCCTTGCCTGAACTCTTCCCGTTGCGTGGGTGCAACAGATTCTCCAGGGTTTGAGCCGGGCGGCTCATGGTTTGCGAGTGCATCTTCATCGACACCCCAACCAGCGACCATAGCGTTGACTGGGCCCAGAATTCCAACAGAATCCATACGTCCTGTTCTCTCAAGCTGACCTGGAGTATCCACGGTACCACTGATTTCTGTGGTTTCACCCCATGAAAGCGCTGGATCTGATGGTTCTCCTCCAGCAACTCCGTCAGAAACTGTAGGTCCTTGAGAGCTCGACTCATCTCGGCCGGCTTGCGATGAGCCGTGATGAGTTTCTTCGACTGATGACACCATTTCTGGAAAGGCCAGGTCCCGTCTGCCTGAATCACCCCTTCCTGCACTGCTGTGTCCCATAGCTGCTGGCCTGGGCTGCTCTGTGAGAGCTTGACCACTCTCTGCTGCAGGTCCACGATCACGCTGCGAAAGAGAAACGTTCGGAGATTGGGCCTCTTGGGGTTGTCCAACTCCTGCGCCCACTTGTTCTTCCATTCCAGGGTTTGTTGTGTCAAGGTGGTCAAGGCACTGCCTGGACTTGACTGGACGAACAAAACGAAGCATTCCTGTCGATGGTGCAGTTGAATGGCCTTGTCGTGTTGGATGACCACTTGCGCCATGAGTCTGACCAGGCTCAACATGGCCTTCTGCCCCTGGTTGGGTTCCGGCTCTTTGCACGCCGTGTGCCCCTGCCGCGGCTTTTTGGGCTGCGGTTCGTCGTCGTTTGACCTGATGTACTGGCTCGCCTGCAAAAGCAGTGGGCTCAGTTGGGCAAATGACTGGAGCAGCTCCGTGTCTGATTGGTCCAACATTGGCAGCTCGGACATGTATCGGTAGCAAGATCAGCGTGAGCTGTCGCAGCACAGGGCAATTTGAGGCAAGATGCAGTTGCTTCAGTTCCGCACGATCATCCAAATTGCTGTCATCTGTTGACTGAAAATTGAATACTAAGTTGCAGAAATGGCATTGATAGTCTTGCTTGAGTTCTGGCATCATGCTGCGCAACAGCTGGAACCTGATTTGAGCCGCCCACTGACATTCTTGGTGATGGCAGTGTAGTTGGTGCGTTGTCAGGGCTGCTGCATGGTACCAGCCTCCGCAGATGACACACCAGTTGCGAAGAATTTGCAACAACGCTGGGGTATTCCACAAGAGATTGAAATCACGGTCAACAAGCATAGGGATCAACATCGGGAAATCAGGGACTGTTGAGATCATACGGCAAGTCTGTCTGATGTCAGCCTCAGTGAAAGGCCAGGGGATCAGAAGATCCTGCTCACTTGTGTAGAAAATCATGGCCACCTGTCTGATCAAGTTGCAAACATGTGTACGGCTGACATCATTGTGGCTTGGGTTACACCTGCATCCCACACGGGCAATCAGCGTCTGCAAAAGAAACCTGACCATCTCATTTGACTGTGTCCAGAGAGCCCCATGGCATTGTTGCAGATGAGCTCCGAGATCATTGGATCTACAGTAAACTTCACCGCAGAGCTGGCAATGCAGGGTCAACTGAAGTCGCTGATGAGATGTCAATCCCTGTACCATGTCCCCAGAGGTGAGCAACAAGGCCCATTTTTGGGCCGCATGTTGTGTGTTGCTTGGGGCCATGGGATTGAAAGATGCACACCTTCCAGAGATTATGTGATGTCTCAATCCATCTCTCGACTGAAATGGCTGCCCACAGTGTGAGCATGCGTTGCATGACTCCAGGGAGTCCCTGGCCGCGTTCCAGTCGTGAATGGCCAGATCATGGCTGGTGCCCAAATGTCTGTGCAAGTCAGCCTGGGTGTCAAAGGTTTCAGCACACAAGTCACATTGCAAAATGTTGCCCTCCACATTGAGGCAGTACATATGGAGGACCGCAAGCTGTGTGGCTACCGTGCATGTGTGTCCCCTTTTGAAAGGCTTTTGACAAAGTATGCATGGGCTTGTCGATTGCAGCAATTTGGTGATCTGAGCGCCTTTCGCAAAGATACCTGCAACTAAGTCCGGATGGTGCAGCCGAAAATGGCAATTCAATTCCTGGCAGCGGTTGTTCCATAACCCGCACACCAAACAGGTGTGGGTCAGGTAATCTCCAATGGCTGGGTCAGTCTGCACCTGGGTCCATTGGCTGTCCTGTGTCATCCGTTTGAGCTCAGGCCAGAAAGGCTGGTGTATCACGTGAAAGTCATCCACCTCTGCCTTACAGGGTCGTGGGCCTACCTCCATCGCTTGGGGCATGGACGGTCTTTGGTCTGCCTGACAGCAATTTCGTTCCACATGAATTTGAAAACGTCTCCATGAAGTGAACTCTTTGTGACAGTGATTACATTGAGCCCTACCATTCAATGACATATCCAAAATTGTATGTGGAGAAGTGCGATGCTGAATGTGTTGATGCTGAACGGTGCAATGTCTGCGCAAGTTGGGAATTGAATGGGTGGCAAAATCACAAAATTGGCAGCGGTAATGCACCTGTGGGGGAGTGGCTGCATCTTCGATTGGAACTGCCGATTCATGTGCCTGCAAACGTCTTATGAGTAGGAGAAGGTCAGGCAAATGATTCCATGTAATATTCTGTAGAAAGTCGTTGTGGTCCAGGACAAGTTGGCGCCTCTGAATCCGTTGCCATAAACTGGTCACCAAACAGCAAAGGAGGTCAAGGGGATGTGGGTGATTGTACATGTCCAAAACCTGTGAATGTGTGGCTCTTGTTCTGTAAGGATGGTTGCCAAAAATGGTTCTCAGCATTTGGTATGTGATTGTTTGATATTCATTCAAAACCTGCACTGTAACGTTGGTGGCTGTGATGCCGTACGTGATGATGGTTTGCACACACGTTCGCCACAAATACAGTCGTTGAGCCAAACTGATCTGTCGATGTTGCAGCCAACACTTCAAGCGTGAGAAAGCGGCCCATCCCGCTCTTTTGCGTTGTTTCCATGTCTGCAGCTCATATGCTCCATATGACATTGTCGTGCCAAGGTATGTCACAGCTGAACGCATGGGCAGTTCTGTTTTGCTACCATCGCCACGTGGGATCACCGCCAGCATAGTCGGTGAAGCACGCTTGACTCTGCCCTTGAGAGCTCGTTTCATATTGCTGCCTGTGGCTGCCAAAATCACAAAGGTCTTCTGGTATGACAGAGTGAGCTTCAAACGTTCAATGCAATCCAATAGATGGCCCATACATTGCAAATGGTGGTCAAGTTCTTGTATGGTCGAAAACTGGCAGCCCACATGCACATCGTCCGCATACAATGTCATGCATTCCCTGATCCACGTCTCACCAGTCAGGGGTACCAGGATGTGGAGCAGTTTGCTCATGTAGACCAGCCACAACAATGGGGCAATCTTGCATCCCTGGCGTAGGCCTAAACCAACATCCACATGAGTTACGTTATGAGGGGATACAATATGATATCGGGTGCCCTCATGCCAATGGGTGATGATGGTGAGGAGCGCATGGGGGGTATGCAGTTCATGGAGGTGGTCAACTAATATGGCCCGGTCCACACAGTCAAATGCTCGTGTCAGGTCTAAAAACATTTGGACCCCTCCCACCACAGTATGGCGTGGGGGCATGATCATCTGTCGGGCAACTGTGCGCCGGTTGGCATTGATCAGGACACGGATCAGGTTGCAGTGCTGTGAAACTCTACGAATGGCATCCAGGGATCCTCGCAACGGAAGGAATCCTAGCTGAGGGAGTGCGCATAATGCTTGTTCCAAATGCATCTTCAGCTGATCAGCGATGAGCCCCATCACAAGTTTACCAAACGTTTCCATGAGAGATATGGGTCTGAGGTTTGCTGGACAATTGCAGGGCTTGCCCGGTTTTGGGATGAAATACAACCAAGCGTCCTTCCAATCTTGGGGGATTATTGGAGGATATTGTCCCCACCATACCCGCAAAGTGTCATGGATGAAAGTTGCAATTTGATCTGAGGCCCCTTTCCATACTATTGCCGGCAAAAAAGGCATGGCTACCGACTTGTTTGGATGAAGTTGGAGCACTGCACGTCGGATCTGATCAGCATCAAAAGGGACGCCGGGTGCCCCCTCATAAAACTTCGGAAGGCTGCGTGGTCCCTGCCATGTGCGTTGAACATACTCCACCAACATCGCATGTGTGGCATATTGATCAGCAATTTGGCCGTCTGATGTGCGCAGTCTGATTCGAGAAATGGATTTTTTGGGGGTATGTTGGTTAATAATCTTGAACATTCCATGCGCATCATGATGGTTGGCCGCATGTTGCAGCTCTTGACACATGTCATGAAAACGTCTGGTCTTAGCTTGTCTGGCCTGTCTCTGTTGAACCCGTTGCAGGCGTCGGAACGCACTCCAGTGTTTCCAAACCTGAAAAATGGTGAATGCATCTGTGGAGTGATGATGTCTAAGTTGAATGATAGTCCGGTGATGAGTCCATTTGGTTCTGATGGTATGTTGACATTCTGTGTAATCAGGGGTTTGGGGTCTATGAGAAACAGGGACAAATATTTCCTGAAAGGCCGGTATAACTTGGTCATGAAGGTTTCTGAAAAGATCGGCTGAGGAGGATGCAGTGGCAGTCAGGTGTGTCACGGCTGCACAAACTCTCTCCGTCAAATCGTGCCATTGGGGCAGATCCTGCAGTTGAGCTTGTCTGCATCTGGCCCTTTGATCCAAGTTACATGCCTTGGGGACACGTGTCACATGATATTGTACAGGAAGTTTTCGGATTGATGCCAACAAGGGGATGTGATGTGAAGCATTTAGGGGGACAAACTCAGCAGTGTTGAGATATGCCACGTCCTTTGATTTACCATCACAAGCATGGATACGAGTACAAATGAAATCAATCCTAGCCGCATACTCACCATGATAATATGTTGGGCCTTTGGACTCGTCCCAGGTGTTGAGTGCCACCAGGTGATGGTCCGCCAGGAGATTCTGGAACCGGTGGTGGTCCCGATGTTGATATCCCTGATGCCTTCTCCCCTGCCACCTGAAGCCATGTGTGCCACTCCAGGGTAGCTGCATCTGCAGAGCGCAGTTAAAATCTCCACTGCAAATGAGCTGGTTCCGATTGGGGAGACGGTGCAAATATTGATCAAGGTGAGTCCAAAATTTTTGTCTACGGTCATAGGATGTTTTGTCACGATAGTCTGCATGCTGGTAAACTGCTACAACATCGGTAGATCGTGTGCCAAAATGCAAACGGACATGTAAAATCCTACCAGGCAATTCTTCATGGAAGCCTATTTGGTCTGGTCCGGCCCATTTGCGGGCGATCATTACTAACACCCCGCCTGATCGGTGTTCATCAGTGGTGGAGTGTACATATGACCATCTGTCATCACTCCAGCATGACGAAAAGCTCCACTTCGTTTCACAAATCACCACAATGTCGATTGGTTGATTCCGCAGCCAGTACTTGAATTCTTGGAAAACTCCTTGGTTGATGCCCCCTGGATTCCATTGCAGGACCCGGAGTCTATTTCTGTCACCCTGCAGGTGATTGGCACATGTGGTTCCAGGGCGTTTCTCCTGTTGCAATGAATGTTGTAGGGCTTGAGGAAAGTCCTGGGACGTCATCATGCGTCCATGGTACCATGCATAGCCATGTGCCATCATGCGGCGGCATGCTCTTTTGAAACTGCGCTTCTGCACTGGTGAACGTCGGGTTGTAGGTTCCCTTTGCTGTGGACCGAGGTCCTCTGGTGGCGGTTGTCCGCTCTTTGCTAATTGTCGAAGGAGATTGGCCGTAAAATGGTCAGCTCCAGCCACACTTGCGGTAGTATGGCAACCCTCACCCTCGTGTGCAGCATTGTTGTAAAAATAATCTTCCACAAACGTCTGACGTGTTGAAGATTGCGGCTGCATGCTCTGGTTGCACACGCCCGGATTTGGGACCGGGTTACACCTAGAGTGGAAAAACTGGAAGTAGTGAACTGCCTGTAACAACGCTGAAACCAAGCACCAAAGTGCAATTGTCATCGCAATGATCACTGTGCCAAAGTAGTGTCGAAAGAAATGTAAACTGTCGCAACCAAGGGATTCTTTGTCCAGCAGGGTTGGCAATGATGGTCAGTCGTCCAGAGTTCAAAAGGCACCTGATTGTAATGTTGCAGTAAAATGTAAATGCAGGAATCCGCCCAGTCTGTTGTACGCGTTGGCCAGGAAATCAAAAAGGGAGCCACCCCTGGAACAAAACGTGTTAGGGCCAGTGCAAAAATCAGGGAGCCCACCCCACCAGCAAAACTATCGCTCGGCCGAAGGAGAAGCAAGCGGGGGGCAGTGGCTGCGGCAGTCACCTAGGCCGTCTCGGCCTTGCACGCACCACTCGCGGGTGCAAAGGGCTTGTGTGTGTGTGTGTGTGGTGGGTGTGTGGGTGTGTGTGTGTGTGTTTTTTTCCTACCCCATTAACACCTTGTTGTGTGAGCAGGCGAGCTCGGCAACAGTTTAACTGTCGGCCACCAAACGCTGCGAATTTGGACGTCCGTCGCAGGTTGGTGGTCTTACCACACTAATATCCCTTAGGATTACAGTTGAAAGAAATAGGTGAAAAATCAGGAAACCCTCAACAGGTGGTTGTTAGTTGAGCCTGATGCACCTATGGAGTAAAGTATGCAAAAGTGAGAAGAAAATGCTCTCAGCCGCTGCCATCTGCTGGAGGCACCCGCTGCTGACAGCCGCACCATTCAGCGCAGGAAGAGCAAAGCAGCGCAGCGCAAAAGAAGAAGTTCCAATGCCAGCTAGCCAGTGCCATCCGAAGGAGCGCAGCAGCTTAAGTGCATGCAAGTGACTTGAAGTTCTATTCCATGAGTCCTGTATGCCCCTAGCACTGCTAAAAATACCAGAAAGCACGGAAGCCCAAGTTCACCATCTTGAGCTCAGCAATGGATTTCGGGTGCTGGGAATGGTTCTGAAAGCAGCACCTTCTGTTTCCATCGTCCTGGCATTTCGTGCAGTGGATCTGACAAACCAGAGCAAAACACAATTTCGTCTGACCACTTCGGGTAAAATTGGAACTCTGTCTGGAATACATCCATCCTCATACAATAGCCATTGGCCTTTGTGTCTGAGGCCCGCTCGATAGTGGCCAGTGTTTGGTGTGTCCTCCAAGTGAAACACAACCCCACACATTTCAAATGAGTCAAAGACGATGTCGCCATTGGCATTGCTAAAACGAGGCATCAAAATCTGTTGCATTGGACATTCAATGTTCTGCTGGCACTTCATGGATGCTGAATCAAGGTGGCGATCAATTGAAAGAATTAGCTGAAACCCGACCTCTGTAATTGCTCTGCAAAGACCTTGGTCATCATGCCAGGCAAAAATCAAATCTTGCAACATGCATGTGTCTGCCAAATGATCAATGAAGGGCATTTTGATTGGTGTGAACTGGCTGCCTTTTTCGTGAGCCAGGTGCACGGAGTTCAAGCCATCCACAAAAGATGGGCGCACATCCCAGTGGCAATTGAGAAATCTCGGTCTTGTAAAATTGAGGAAGTAAGTGCAAAATTCAGTAGCATCTTGCTGTTGTTCAAGAAATCTCTCAATTGACCATTCCCCTGTTAGCAACCAACCAAAAGGGTCATGTCGCAGCAAATCCATGGGTATCAAATTGCATGCTACCACGTTCCTCATCAGTTCGAACCCACTGTGCCAAAGTTCATAGATGAATCCCTCTGCCAGTAGCATCAACCAAGCAAGGCAAGCAATCACTGCATTTGCGGCGCAGGCACGTCCAGAGGGGTTGAGAAAGAGGCGCACAATGCCAAATCTCAAAGTGCCTTCTGAATCTGGGTGGCCAGTGGCTGGCGCTGCAATGTCTGTGGCTTCAATCTCACCTGGATGAGCTGCCAAATGGCGTGATGCGACAAGGCAGCCAACTGCTGCTGAAGCTCCGGGCTGTTTCGAAGACTGAGAGTCCACAGCCAAGGAACCGGTTGCTGAGCATCCTGGCCTTCCTGCGTTTTGCGAAGTGCATGAAATCGCAGCGTCACACTGCTGTCTGACATCAGCCGCACAATGCTGCAAACATTCTTGTATGCCACTGCAATCGGAATTCCTGGGGCCTCCGTCGGTTGTAGACAACGATGCTTCGAGTCCCAACGGAGGAACGGCATCGGCCGATCTTGATTGTTGACCACCAAATGGTATTGAACACAATCTCGAAAAAGCTCCTCCGTCGGGGCCGCCTCCATCAGAATCTTGGTTCTGGCCTCCAAGGTCTGCATCATGGTGCTGGCCAAAAGATGTCTCAGTGGCATCTGTCTGTCCTGGCTGTTTTGGTGCCAAGTGCGGCTGGTTTGGAGTAAAAGTGGCAGGACACTGCCTTTCCCCGGGTTCAAATGGAGTATGAACTCCGATTCTTGGAGCAGCACGTTGATGGAGTCTTCGTGTCTCAAAACCAGTTTCGACAACTTGACCAAAAGAGAGGTCGGCACCGTTGTGGATACTTCCGAATTGGACCTGTTGTCCTTCTTTTTTTCTGCTGTTCTGGTTTGTGCCGTTTGTTGCTGCCGTCTGTAGGACCATCGATTCCCAGCACTTTCATCTGTTCTTTGCTCAGCAAATTGCCCCATATTTTGGAAGCTGCGTCGATGCCCTCTACCTCCTCGGATTCCATAGCCATTCGTCAAGAAGATGGCAAGGTTCTGTAAAGGGAGGCACGGTTGATCGTGGTGCTGCTTGCCACAAAAACGGCAGGGCATGGAACAACGCAAAACCAATCTGTTATAACACATCAAAGTGAGCATCTGCAAAAAGTTGTGATTGCGATGCAAATGTTCCGAAAAGCGCATGGAGGAAAAGAAGGTTTTATGACACAGGAGGCATTTGTGATTCACCATGTCAGCAATCAACGGATCCTGTAACATCAAAAGACCTCCTTGTGCCAGCAAGTCAATGGATAAGCCAAACGTGTCTGAGGGCTCAGCATTGAACTGCCAGAGCTTCAAGTCTTCCTGCCTCTGCGCTGCTGCATGGCCTCGTGGGAAGGCCAGCTCAAAGGTGCCAGTGGCGGCTTCGACCAAACAGGCATCATCAGCAAAATGCTATATTGAATCACCATCGGACATTTGAACAGATGTTCTTCTGGATACTCCACAAGCTCGTCCCCCTCAATTCGACAGGGCAGCACAGCTCCGCACCACTCACAATGTCCACCTGCAGTCAAGAGATGTGCAAAAACTGTGCAGAGCTGATAGGTCAGGTACCTGAGCCTTTCCTCTGTCACTCCATGCTTTGCTACCAGATGAGGCAGGAGCCGCTCCATAGTGACTTCTTCCTGGCAGAGAAGGCAATTGTGATTCAGCATACGTTGAAGTTCAGAATCTTCCCAAAGGCGGTGGAAATTGCGTGTCATCATTGCCATAGTCACTCGAAGAAGCACCGGCTGGGGCAATAGAGGTTCAAGGACATCTGTCAAGTCCACCGAAGTGAAAGTCCAAGGGATCAACACTTGCCAATTGAAATCCTGAATCGGAAAAGCAAGCTGAGTCAGCCCAACGCACTCATGACGGGCCTCTCCCCAGCCACAGCTGGGGTTGCAGAAGCATCCCAAGTCCATGAACAGCACCCATTGGAGCAATTCCTTCAGATGCATGGTCTCCTGCAAGACAGCAGCATGTTGCTCTTGTAGATGGGCAGTCAATTGTTGCGCAGAACCAAAACGCAAGTCACACAGCTGACAGCTAGTTGTGAGAGAAAATCTCACTTGGCGCTTCTTGTACAGGAGCTTCACTTGTCCATTCCACAGCAAGGGTTCAATCTGTTCTGCAAGGGTCAGCAACATGTCAGGAGGCTGCACTGTCGGAGCCAGATCTTGTTCCCGCTCATGTTCAATCCTCAGGAGGGCAAACTGCAGGTATACGGTGCAAATATGCTTGCTGTGCAGTTGTGGTTGACAAAGGCAGCCAAATTGGGGTTTGTACCGATTGTCCAAAACCAATGCACGTTTTTCGCATTCATGCCATTCAGATGGATGATTGTGTTTGAAGTGCCTGGTCAATTCTTGACGTCTGGAAAACTGCCGATTGCAAGGAATGCACCTGGTGGCCAAGAAGGATTGGACCTCTGCCAGCTGTAAAAGGTCGGCACATCGGTTGTTCTGGATGGCCTCGTACAGTTGGCATCTGATGTCAATGATATCATCTGCAACTCTGTCGCAGTCCTCAGTGGCTTGGTGGTACTCTTGCAAATGGCGCTGAAGCCCGTGTCGCGTAGTATACACCTTGAAACAAACGGGACACGTCAAGTCATCAGACTGGATTCCTGGTGGGGCTTCATACCCTTCTCGAGTCAGCAGCATGGCCAATTGTCGGACCAAGATACATTTGTGATACTGTTTGTAAGCAACACCACACAAAGGGCATGGGGAACTGAAATCACAAAGACTGAGCAAGAAGTTGTTGTGAGCTTCATGTTTGCGAAACAGTTCATTGTGTGCCGTTTGTAAATGTGTCAAGAGCCCTCTGGCAGTAACACAAAAGTGTTGACAAATACAGCATCTGGTGTGAAAGTACGCCAAGAGATCCGGCCGCTGTGACAATGCCTGCATTTGCTGACTGCTTGCATATTGAAGAAATTCTTGAACACGCAGTCGATGTTCGACTTCTTCACCCGAGTCAATAGGGTCCTGCTGCTGCGCAGTGCAAACAAATTGAACATGATATTGTAATCGTGACCATGTAGTGAACCATTGACCACATCGATTGCATGTGGGCAAGCCCGCACTGATGTCAGTAAGTTGAATGGGTCGCAGTGGTCCTGTTCTGTCTCCATGCTCAATGGTTTGATGCCTGCGTAAGGCAGACAATGAAACAAAAACTTGTTGACAATGAGAGCATTCGAATTGAGTATCTGGCTCAGGCACC